ATGTTTTCTTGTGATGAAGTTAATACAGTTATTTCTATGCTGGAACCAAATAAATCACCTGGTCCTGACTCTATTTCGAATGAGATTATTAAACAGTTTCATTTAATGTTTCCTCAATTTCTCCATAAACTTTTTAACGTTTGCCTAAATGTTGGCATTTTCCCACGTGTTTGGAAACATGCTCAAGTAATTCTTATTCCTAAAGGAAATGAGTCTAGGATTCCTCACCTAGATAACCTTAGATGTATAAGCTTACTTCCTGTTTTAGGGTAAGTGCTTGGAAAAACTTTTTATTAACAGAATTTGCTGGTATCTCCTCCCGCCATGGAGACCTTCTTTCTGGTAATCAGTATGGTTTTACACCTCAAAAAAGTTCTGAAGACGCTCTTTTACGCTTGAATGAAATTGTTCAGAGAGGAAAAAAGAAAAACTTGCACACTATTTTGGTCTTTTTGGATATTAAGGGCGCCTTCGACTATGCGTGGTGGCCTTGTATTCTCAATCTTCTCAAAAAAGTGGAACTTCCAATGAATATTTTTTCACTTGCTGCTGATTTTTTAAATGATCGGGCGGCCAAACTTGCAATTGGGCTCGGCTTCTGCAATTCCGTCACCTTGAAAGGGGTTGCCCTCAAGGGCTTCTGTTTCAGGACCTACGTTTTGGAATATTATTATTAATGATCTCCTATTAAAACTGGAAAATCTTGCTTGTTGTGATACTATAGCCTTTGCGGATGATGTTTTGTTTTGCTTCCAGAGTAGGGACCTTTCTGCTACTTTTTTACAGGCACAAGAGACTTTAAATTTCGCCTCCAACTGGTCAAAAGGTTTTAAATTAGATTTTAATCCTGATAAAACCAGGGTTATGATTATTGAAAAGCGAAACATCTGTTATGATGCATTTCAGTTATCTCTCGATGGCACCCCTTTGACTGTGGTAAAGCAAATGAAATATCTTGGGGTTTTTCTTGACTGTAAATTTTCTTGGAAACAACACTTAACTTATGTATCAGAGAAATGTGATAAATTACAGCGTGGATTAAGTCGTATTGCACGCAACACATACGGTATTAATTACAACGTTCATTCGCTCATCTATAAACAAGGAATTGCCACCCTTCATTATGTATGGCTCTAGAGTCTGGGGTATATCGCTCAAGAAGAAGATAAATTATAGATATTTACGACGTGTTCAAAGGCGGATACTTCTGCGGGTCATATGTGGATATCGTACCGTAAGCTATGAGTCTGTTTATGCAATTTCTGGCTTTCCTCCAATTGACATTGCCATTCTTCATTCTATTGCTTATAAGGAAAATATTTCTGCTTCTACTGTCTCTCAGTATGATTGTATTTTACCTCTATCTGATCTCCCTCATCCTTCAGAAAGAAATGCTGTTAATTTTATTCAGTTTAGCAATAAAATCGTAGATGATTCGCCTGTAACTTGCTATACTGATGGCAGCAAAATTGATGGCAAGGTTGGTCTCGCATTTGTTGTCTTCAAAAATGGTCTTGAATTTGAGCACTTTCAATTTAGAATCAGAGATGAATGTACCGTTTTCATAGCTGAACTTTTGTGCTTAAACTTCGCCGTCAAATGGGTCTCTAAACAAAACAGTGCTGTTTCAGACTATCTCATTTGTACTGATTCCCTTTCATCCTTGGAGATCTTAAAATGTATTTCTTCTTCTAATAATATCATTATCGAGATTCAAAAGAACTGAAAAACCTAAAGGATAAAAAATATTTCGGTTTCATTTTCATTTGTTCGTGGTCATACAGGTGTTGTTGGGAACGAACGAGCCGATTTCCTTGCTAAGACTGCGACTAAGCGGAAATTGACACTTTTGTCAATATCCCTAATTCCTTTTATAAGAAGGTCATGTATGAAAGCATTGTGGAGTCGTGGAATCACGAATTTATTAATTCAAATAAAGAGAGTTTAACTAGGAGATTTTCCCTTCTATTAAAATGAGATTGTCGTGTCATCATTTCTTCACAAATTACAAATTAACCCAGTTTCTTACTGGACATGGGAATTTTAAAAGTTATTTGAACAGATTTAAGTTGAGTCCTGAGTCTGTCTGTGACTGTGGCCTCGGCGGCGAGGAGAATGTTGAACATGTGCTTCTTCTATGTCCTAAATATGAGAGCGAAAGAAAAGTCTTGAAACTGGGACTGAAAAATTTTAATATTAACTGGCCTCCAGAGTTTTACCAATTTATTTCCGAGAGAAGTGCTTTTGAACACTTTTTTGTCAATTCATTGTAAAACTTTGTAATCATCCTTAATTTTATTTCAGTTTTCTCTTTCTTTTCTTTCTGTTTATTTGTATTGTGTTTCATACTTACTTCTGTAAGCCCCATGTGATACTATGTGGTACATGGGGAATTTGCTGTGTTTCTGTTAATAATAATTAAAAAATAAATAAATAAATAAATAAATAAAAAATAAAAAAAAAATATGTGATTTAGAGAATTTCATATGAAGTAAAGCATGATCTATGGTAAAAATTGAATTAAAGATATGGAATAAAGATGTACCATTAAAAGCTAAATTAACTTGCCTTTTCATTTGGATTAGCTTTACCACTTTGCAAAAACCATGCCTGAACTTTGATGCTGAAATATCACATACGTGCGCGAGCCCACCAGCGGCCGAGCGGTAAAGTCGCTGAACACTGGTAGTTCGGTCCGAGGTTCGAATCCCGCAAACGGGCTGGCTGCATGGGTGTTTTCGTGGTTTTCCCCATGTGTAACGTGTATACGAGCCAGTTTCCCATAGAAAGTCCTCCACAAAGGCATCCCTCCCCTTAGGCAGATAGCCCTAGTGTGCTCTGCCATAATTAAAATACACATACACACACACATCACATACGTGCATACATGAACACATTCATCCATACATACATTTCTGAATTCAGTCCTGATAACAAAACAGTATGGATTATGCTTAATAATAATGTATCCTGTCAACAGATTTTTTTAATCTTTGTGTGGTATTGTTGCGTTTTTCTTTTTCCTGACACCAGTTATTACGTTATTTTCTTTCTTCACGTTCGTAGATTTGGAGTGAATAACGCCGACACTGGATGAAGTATTGAAACACACTTTATTTATCAATATTAATCAGGAGAGCTCCTAAACACTTTTACAGTCATTGAAGATCTACTATAAACACGCTGGAACAATCAGCGACACAGCCTTCACACTGTCAGGTATTAACAGTGGAGATAGCTTCCTGCAAAGCACCCGATTCTGGAGTACAGCTCCCTACTCTGCTTGGTCGTTTTCGGAACTCCACATACTCTCGAGGCTCTCCACGCTACAACTCGCGATACACTCGACGACATATGAGCACAGCTCCCGACTCTTTGGTTCAGTCGTTCCTGGAGCTCAACACGCTCTCTTGATGATGCACTAACCACGCTACACTAACAGACTTCTTCGGTGCACTTGACGACCCACTCGGCACTCGTTGCCCGGCTGTCAACTCGATTGACTCCGCAGGGATTGATTCGCTAGACGAGACGCACTCGATGCTAACTCTTTCGCACTCCAGACGAGGGACTGTGACTCGCCCTCTTGATGAAGCACACACTGAGACACTAACTGACTGCGGACCAGCAGTGTTTCTATAGCTTTCAGCTTGTGTTCGAGAACATTCTAGGCTAAACTGGTAAGAATTCGTTCCAGAAGGTTCTCCATCCGTCCATGGCATATGACCAATTATGTCACCAAAGGGGCGATTTCTCGCCAAATGTGGCAACCCTCTCTTCCTTTACTATTTTATGGCAACCCTAAACCTTCTCTGCGGGGGGGGGAAGCTATCTTACCGCGGTTGTACATTTTGTAACAGTACTACAAAAGTGAGTTCAGGCATAGGTAATTTTTTTATTTATTCAATTCCCATTTATTGATAGCTCCTTAATTTTTTTCATTGACGACCCTTAAAAATTCTTCCCTCGAATCATGTTCCTTCTCAAATGAATATTCTTTTGTCATGTTGCATCACAAAAAAAATAAATAAAGTACTATTGTGTCCATTAATAGACAACATTTTTGATGGCATGATCCCATAACTTTGAAAGTAATCTCTTTCTGTTATGTAGAAGGCAGATCCCAAATTTTAATATATATATATATATATATATATAAATTTGAATTTGAATTGCAATTTGAATATATATATACATTCAAATTGCAAGAAAAACATACTGTAGTAATAGTTAATTTACATCCTTGTTTATAAAAACAAAAGTTGGCTTGCTGGAGTCACATCAAATGAAAGCACAAATCTTATAAGTGTGTTGGGATGTCACGTTTATCCATAATTGGGGCTAAATCACATTGCTGTGGGATGTAATAATACACGGTACTCTTGAACTATCCATCAAATCGTCACCACCGCAGTCACACCAGCCGCAGGTGGCTAATTTTTCATCAACCTTAGATGTAAAAAACAATACCATTTTAAAAAATGGTGGCACAGTGTAAAATGTATAAAATAGCAATGAATTAATGAAATTAAAAATGCAAAAAACATCCGTTATGAAACACTGGAAATTATATAAAACAGCTACATATTAACTAAAATAAAAATGCAAGAAACATATATAATAAAACATTTACTTTTTTGCATCACTCTGCTACCATGTGTGCATTGATCTGTTTTGACTCAAGAGAAAATCGGAGAATTGTAGCAATTCGGAAAAAGCTATTATCACAATCACATTAGAGCAGTTGATAAAAAGCAGTCACAAAGATGACTGTTGAATTTCAAAAGCCAAATTCAGCATTGTCATAATGCAAATGCAACCATTGGAGGCTTTCTAGATAAATATATTTTCATAAAATTCTGGGTTGCTTATTTTGACTACATAGCACATTGCTTGGTGATTCTTCTCAGGGTCGAGCAATTAATCAGAAAGTGTCTAATACGTGAGTATGATTAAATAATTAGATCAATTTATATATATTTTTTCCTTTCTCTTTACAGGAAAATGAAAAGGACTGGTTTTCTAGAGAATTTGAGAAAATTCAAGTTGATACAAATTTATCAGAATCTGAACAGAAAGACATTGCAAAAGAATTAATCAAGTCACAAGTATTGTACTGTTTGTTACTGATACATTTAATGCAAAACTTTATTTGACTATATACTGATTATTTGATTTTTGTCAATATTTTACAAAATGGCAATTCTCGATATTTGCTTGTTATAGATGTATGCAAACAAAAGAGCTTGCATACATCTATAACATCATTGCTTACATCTATTGCTTGTTTTTTGCTCTTAATAACAGCATTAGTATACTATTACTGAGCACTATTTTCTGAAATTTGACCTTCTGAAACATTCTTTCTGTGTCTATAAAATCAGCTAAAGATCTAGGCCCTTAAACTCATTTTTATATAATTTGCTTTCAAGCTACTTATTTGAAAGTCAAACTGTGAATGTATTTCCTTCATTATAATGAGCTATTTGTCTAAAAACTTAAGCCTCATATGATTTTATGTTCAATTAAATAGTTTCCATCAAACCAGAAAAGACTAAATAACAAAATTATATAAAATAAGCACAACTTTGTAAAGGAATGTATATATATTTTATATTTACAGCTATTTTTGTTGCTGGGAAATAATTCTGTCGTTGCAGCTATATTATTATTCATTTTTTTCTTGCTAACTGATGAAGAGCTCATTTTAAACAAAATATCCCAGGAGACATAATGCATAAGAATAAATATCAGATTTTTTTTCTGTTATAGGATTACTCACACCACATAGTTTACTATAGAAAGCTATTTGTACCCAGTTGTACCTCCATTACATTATTTAATTCTTATTTATGTGAAATCATATGGAAATACCAGAATAAAGGGGCAGGATTGAATGGATATTAGCTGACATTGTTGCCTGTTGGCCTTCTTGAAAATAAATGTCTTCTTCTTATCTCTTTATCATTGTTCTTATTTTCAAAATAAATATTGTCAATAAAAAATTTTCAAAGTATGGCATTCTATTTTACTATTTCCTTATTGAAATAACTAAAGAACCAATATCTTACATTTAGAAAAAAATATTCAAAATATTTTGAAATTTGATTTTAGTCTTTTATTTAGCATATATTTTATCAGCATTCGGCATTTTTATTTATGTTAATCTTTCACCTTATCTCTTATTTTAAGTACTACTGCTAAAAGGTAGAAGTTATTGATAATTTATCATTTTAAATATGTTTGTTGAAGCAATTTGTTCATGTAATTAAAATTAAAAGCTCAAGTAAAAATTACTAATACACTCATGTCCATAAGTTAAGGATAATTTGGAGTCACGTGGAATTCGAACTCTAAAATAAATATATCACCTGTAAAATCACTACACACATCTTCCAGAATCATATGCAAATTTCAGGAAGTAACCAGATGACACCGATGGTATGTCACAATGATGAGAGTGTAAGAGAGTGATATATAAGGAATACAGGCAAAGAATTTGTAGGCACTTTATAAGCATTTCAGTGCAATAACCAAATAGTTATGACACAAAGGACGCATTTGGATGATTTTTTACGTGGTAGAATTATCGGCTGTCTGGAATGTGGGCGTACCCAACTGGAAGTATCAGACGAACTTGGAATTGCCCAGAGTGTCATCTCCAGGCTTTGGCAATGATTCCAAGATGATGGTAATGTGAGTAGACGTTACAGCACAGGTCGCCCCAGAGTTACAACGCCGAATGAAATTTACTGCCAAAAGAAACAGGCGGAGCACAGCGTCAGACCTGTCTTATCAGCTCTCTTCAGCCACTGGTACGACAATTTCAAGGCAGACCGTGTACAGATGCTTAGGGCAGATTGGTTTATATGCCGTAGACCTGTCAGATGCGTTCCACTTACTGCAACTCACTGGACTTAGCCTGGAGTAGAGAGCATGCCTTGTGGACACCGCAACAGTGGGCTTGTGTGACGTTTTCCGACGCGTCCAGGTTTAGCTTGCAGTATGATTCTCTTCGGACTTTCATATGGAGAGTCCAGGTACCCGTTGCCACCAAGAAAACATCATTGAACGACACCGTTACGGTGGTGCAGGAGTGCTTGTTTGGGGTGGAATTATTCTGGGTTCCAGAACTGACCTGAATGTTCAAATTGTAACCATGACAAGCCAAATCTATCGGGATGTCATTCTGGAACAACATGTACGTTTGTTTCGAGGCACCATGGCGCTTAATTTGTGTTTATGGATGACAACGCCCGTCCTCACCGTGCAAACATCATAAGCGAGTGCTTTCAATCGGAGGATATCGCCCGTATGGACTGGCCAGCATTCTCACCGGACTTGAATCCAGTAGAGCACATGTGGGACATGCTTGGCCGACGAGTTGCAGCCCGTCAATTCCTCCTACATGTCTACCGGAACTTCAGAGAGCATTTCTTTTTGAGTGGTGTAATATCCCCCAAGATCAGATCGATAATTTTTTACTCAGCATGCCTAGGCGTTGTATGGACTGTATTGCATCGTCTGGGAGACATATAATGTATTAACAATCATATTAACCATGTAATATTGGTTTTTTATAAATAGATGTTTTTTGTAATTTCCTCTAGGGAGGAAAAAATCGCTAATTTTTTTAATAATATCAAACATATAGCATCTTTTTTTGGTCTTTACCTTTTGTTTAATAAATAAGCTTTACAAATAAGTCAAATTTGTTTTGCTTCCAACTCTTCCTTTGCCTGATTTTGCATTATCCTTAATTTATGGACATGAGTGTATTAATAAGTTAGAAACCATAAAAATATCTAAAATTAAATTTTTCTCATCCTAATTTATTCAATACACAGAATTTTGATAAAATTCTAATCAGAAATATGAAAACAAATATGTACATAAACAAAAATCAACTGTATTAAAATATGAAATGTGGCATTTTCCCATTGTCTTATTTTTTAATACGAGGGCTGTTTTTTAAGTAAGGTCCATTAGCGCGTATAGTTCACGCGGACACTGCAACGAGTTGCTGCGCCACTAACCAGCATCCTTTGCGAATAAACTCGCACCAGTGTCAGCTCTGTAGCAGTTGTGTAAAGTATGCTGTGCATCTTTAAAATGTTTAAGGTGATTGAATCTCCCATCACGTATGAGATATGGTCTGTTTTCCGTTTTTAGAGTGTGTGAAACATGTCGACTGCAGACATTCAACACCAGATCACGTAAGTTTATGGCACTTAAGCAATAAGTGATTGTAAAGTCCAAAAAAGGGTCAGGGATTTTAAAGACTGGCGTACAAACGTTCATGACGAAGAATGCTCAGGCCGGCGCTCTACACTAATGATTTGGTTCATGTAGTTGAAGCAAAAATTCATGAGAACAGAAGATTCACTATAACTATTCTTTCATTGAAATTTCTCCATGTTTCTTGGTTGGTAGTTTACAAAATTGTGACTGAAAACCTAAACTTTAAGAAATTGTGTTCTCGGTGGGTACCCCAATGCCTCACAGTGGAACGCAAAGAGAAGAGTTTGCCAGTTCATTGGACTATTTGATTCGTTATGAGGAAGAAGGGAATGATATGTTATGTCAAATTGTTACTGGAGATGAAACATGATATCTCATATCACCCCTGAATACAAATAACAGTCGATGGAATAGCGACACACATCCTTTCCTGTCAAGGTCAAAGCGCAAGATTATGGCAACAGTATTCTGAGACCAGTGCAGTGTTTTGCTGGTGGAATTTATGTCACAAGGAACGACGATCAATTCAGGTGCTCACTAGTGCAATTCTACAGAAGCTCCAAAGAGCATTCCAAAACAAACGGCGTGGCATGTTGTCAAAAGGAATTTTTTTCCTCCACGACAACACATGGTCTAACACTTCTCGAATTACTCGGGACTTAATAGAATCTTTTGGCTGGGAAGTTTTGCACCATGCACTGTACAGCCCCGACCTTGTTCCCAGTGATTTCCACCTTTTCTGGTACCTCAAACACCATCTTGGCGAGAAGCGCTTCAGTGACAACGAAGAAGTGAAAGCGGCCATGAACTCTTGGCTGTCTGAGCAGGCGGTAGACTTCTTTGAAGAGGGTTTTCAAAACTTAGTTTTAAGGTATGACAAGGGCGTTAATAAACTAGGCAACTATGTAGAAAAATAGCTAAAAGTATGTCCAATCCTAAAATAAAGGTTTTTTAAAACAAAATATTGTCATTATTATTTTTTCTTAAAGGACCTTACTTAAAAAACAGCTTACCTATATAGGAACAAAATTTTTGTTCAACTGCAGTTGGTCACCTAGTTGTAAATCTCAAATTTATTTGAAAAATTGATACCTACATATATACATTTGAAAAATTAGTATCTACATATTATCTTGGCACAGTTTGGCAAATGTTTTTTGGTGAAAAGGTAAAAATTGCACATCAGGTTCAAATTGGTGATTTTCACAACTTTCTTTAAAAATATTTCTGACCTTCCAATATTTAATGCAGAACACACTTTAGCAATTTAAAACACAAATTTTAATTATTAAATAAAGATTATACAATACATTAAAATCTGGAACACTTATTTTTTTTTGATAAAACTTTCTGTAATTTTTTTGCTCGCTGTTCCCCATGTACGCATCAATATGTTTTCACTCGAAAAATATCAGAAAATTGTGCACCAGCTATGTACCATACACGCCTCATTAATATTTCCTTTTGAATTTTTTTTTTGCAATCTTTTGCATAAGATAAAATTAAGCATTGCATAAGGAAATGGCAAGGTTGTTGTGAGCATGGTTACCAGTTTGGCCCATTCTGAAAATTTGGAAAATTCTGAAAATAAACCTAAAGTGCATGTGGAATATTTCAAGCAGTGTGTTTTTGTATTATGCTTGGTGTATATATAGAAAATTAAAAGAAAGGGGAAAAAAAAAACTTGATTTGAAAATTTTTCAACTCTGTTTTTATATAGAAAAGAAGCTTGCATATTTTTCTTGTGTAGTTCTTCCCTGTTTATTTATTTATATTTCTTTGTATCAGTAAAGTATTATGGTAATGATTTATGATTTTATATTTGAATTGTTTGATTTTTTTATGATAATGTTTTATATTTGAATTTGATTTACAGGTTTTTGATAATTTCCTAGCGACAAAATTTTCTTCCGTGAAGAGATATGGTGGAGAAGGGGCTGAAAGCATGATGGTCTTTTTTATGGAAATTTTCAAGCAGGCTTGTTTGTGTATGTTCTATGTAGTTTTGTGTAATGACTTTTGTTAAATTCAGAATTTTCTGCTACTTAAAATTTTCACAAAATTTTATATGAAAGTATGTATATAAGAAATTTAAATTTTACATTGTTCTGCTTAATTTTTTTTTAAGAAAAAAAGGAGGTAAAAAGGTCATAAGCAATTTATTCATCATGGAAGATAAAATTTATGTTTATATCCCCCTCAGTATTAGAAATGCTGAACATAATTTCTGAGGGATTATGTATATCTTATTTAGTCATTATTTTTTAAATGCTACAGTAAATATTTCATGGAATTCACCCTTTCTTAAGCCATGAAATTTCTCTGAAAAGGGGGGATTACTTCCTGAAACTCATAGAACTTAAATCATAATGAGAGGCTTAGAACTAAGATCAGCTATTCAAATTTGCTATTTCCAGCTGGATGTATGTGAAGATGGTGTTGACATACTCTTGGTGATGTTTTCATTGTCCCTACCTCCCTAGAGCACCAGACTTGGAATTCATTGATTGTTTTTATGTGGCCAAAATCACTTATATAATTATGAGATATTTCTGTATTTTCCTTTCAATTTAGGATTGTACTTCATCTAAAACCAAATATTTTGGAGCTGCTCTTTCTTAAATTTAGATCTTAATGTTAAATCTGTTTATATATTGATAAGTTGTTTCCTTTACTTCACTGTCAAGGCTTCTGGCTGTACAACTTAAGTGGATTTTTTTATCCAGTATAAATAGTTTTTTACTTCTGGGAAATGTTCTCTCATAGTTTTCTTTAAAATGTGCTCCATTGTATAACTTTAATTGTCATCTAAATATATTTTTCATTAGAAAACTGTTTAGTTTTCAATGCACTGCATATCATTCTCTTTGACATATGATGAACACATGTTAAGTTTTAAACTAATCAGCAACTAAATGTATCTTTATATTTTTTAGTTAATAAACAGTAGTCAGACACTAGTGTAATTGAATTGCTTTATAATTTCCTTTTCAGTTTTTTATTTCGATTTGTGGAATGCTAGGGTTCCAAAGTACGATTTAAACACAACTGACCTGTAGTAATAGTTTGGGAAGCCAGTGGAATGATAGGGTTCCAAAGTACAGCTTAAAGACAACTGATGTATAGTAAAAGTTTGGAAGGCCAGCACATTGTATGATTCTACATTGTTATGCCTTTCATGTTAAGTATCCAGATAGAGAGAAATTTAGAGAGAAAAAGAAAACTTTTAACAGCTTAATTTGTAATAAATTTAGAAATAAAAATATAGTTTTTTATTTATTTCTTAACTTAATACAAATAATAAAATGACCTTGATGAAAAATGGGAATAGGTGTGTGTCATCTTTGGTGAAAAACAGACAGTTACTGATGCATACAAACAATTATTCTAATGTCTATAATACACAATGTCTTTGTATTTACATACAGAAAGAATTTAAGTAAATTTATGTGTATTATTTTATTTAATGGAATTTTATAATATTATTTATTTAAATAAACTACATATAGGCACATACCTCAAATTTATTTTAAACAGGCATTTTATAGTATCCATTATTCAGCATTTATTGCTAATAATGCATCAAATACATCATCATGGCTGATCATAAATTCTGTTAGATAGGACTTCAAATGATGGCTGTATCCCTGTGCTTTTTGTTCTACCATGTTGCAGATCCCTAAAAGATGCAAAATTATATTAAATATTTAGCATCGAAGAAGTTTTCACTAGCTAAATTTTACTTTCTCTAATTTTCACTTAGATAATTTTCGCTAGCTGTGATTTTCAACAAGATGATGTTCACTAGTCAGAGAAATATAAATTATGAGCACATGTGCATTGAATGAATTTATGTATATTGGTAACTATCTGTTTTTTTACAAACACTGAAATGCACCAATTCTTGTTTTGTACTTAGGCTCACATAGAAGTACTTTATATTAAATTGCATACTGATTCAGTGCTTGTTTATACGGAATGATTACATTTGATGTTTACAATACGGTTTGTTCTAAGACTTGTTTGGGTTTTTACAATGATGCTTGAATTTACTTTTTCATTGAATATCAATTGTTTATAATACTGTGTTAAGTGTTTAGATCCTGCTTTTATTCTTATAAGGTACTTCTCATGCCTTTTTTGCATGCCTTCATGGTATAATGGTCAGCAGGTTTGGCACGTATCCCCTAGAGGTCCGAAGTTTGGGTCCGACGAGGGCATTGCTCATTTTTCACATCTCCTGCTTCAAAAAAGTTCTAATGACTCAACAGTGGTGCCTGAAGTAAAAAAAAAAAAAAAAAAAAAGGTGGTGAATGATGATTCTCTACCACCAGGATTTGGGGATTGGTCCTCAGTCACCTATTAAAAGGGGGAGTATATAAGTTATTTCTCCCGTCTTCTTATCGTGCCTTTGTGGTGTAATGGGTAGCAAACTTGGCGCATATTTTTAGAGGTCTGAGTCCTGGCGAGGGCATTGCTCATTTTTCATCTCTCCTGTTTCGAAATAACCTAATGTCTCTACAGTTGTGCCCGAACTCACCAGGATTTGGTGATTGGGTCCCCTAATCCACAGTCAGCCTTTAAAAAGGTGAGTATATAAGATATTTCTCCCACCTTCTTAGCATGCCATCATGGTGTAATGGTCAGCACGCTTGGTGCGTTTTTCAAGGGGTCCGAGGTTTGAGTCCCATCGAGGCCATTGCTAATTTTTCACATCTCGTGCTTCAAAAGAATCCTAATGACTCTACGTGCTTTGAACTGATGTTCTTAGTTTTAAAACGTTTTGGTTATCAGAATGTTAGATTCATCTTCTTAAGCTTTCTGTTTCTTTGTAAGTACAGTGAAACCTTTATTCACAAGCATATTTTCCAAATAAAAAATGTTTTGGGTGATAAACAGTATCTCAAGATACAATCAAGTAAGTTGGTAACAGATGATACTCAAAAATGCAATTAATGTAGTAGAGAAACTATCTTCAGAAGAAGATGGAAGGAGAGTTGTTCCTAGTTATTTGTTCCATGATATTTTCACAAAGAACACCACATTATTACCTTTACAAAGCAGTAGTAAGCCATATTATAAGTATTTGCAGTGACAGTGCCATGTCTTGCTAATAACATTTTAAAACATAAACAAAAACAAATCACAGTGGGGACAAAGGCTCATGATTCTCGAGTAAAGGTAAGTGGTGTTAAAAGAAAGATGAAAAGAAAATCAATCTTAGAAAGATAGCAGTTACCTGGTATTAAGGAAATAGGAATTCCTTTTCAAATAACAATATTTTGCACTTTTGGCTTCTTCACCATTTTCTGCTTTCATTATCAACTTTCTGTGGTAGAGATACGGCAAAATTTAATTCAAGTTTTCCAATTATTTTTTTATATGTTTGGTATTGTATTAAATATTGTGTATGTGTTAGAGATAATAAATTCCATTGGTTTTGCATTGTAAACTTGCATGCAAAATACAGTCAAAAGTCGTTAATTCGGACACCCGTAATCCGGAATGATCTATAATCCGGACCTCAAAGCTAAAATCTTTCTGCGCATGCGCCGCATTGACGCATGCGCATAGGCGTTTTACTCGTGTGCGCAAGACATTTACGACTGCGCATATGCATCTGCGCAAGTGCAGAATACGTTTTCGCGTGCGCGTTTAATGTATGACGGACAGTATAAGCTAAAATTATCTAATTATCTATTTCAGTTAATGTTGATAATTGCGTTGTTCCTTAATCTTCAAATTGGATCCGGCTTATTATTTTTTGCAGACTGTAAGAGCAATTTTTCTAAAGTAAGCTTGAACTTTCGATTATGTCAAATAGAATTTCCGATGCTGGAGCTCCCAAAGGATCTAGAAAACGAAAGTATGTTTCGATGTCCATCAAACAAAAAACGAATTGCTACAAAAAATGAATAAAAGCATATCCTTTGTTTATCTAACCGTTCCGAAATCTGTTTTATCATTTCACGCTGCTCTGCGCGGGGGGGGGGGGCACGTCGCGGCGCGCAATGAACTGGAAGTTGATCTGTCAACACTATCGTTATCTTCAGGGCAGATGTTTTTATTTTAGTCGGCTTATAATTCCTTACTAAATGTAGTATTTAATTTCGATGTACTCCGTCTTTGATATGATTTAAATCAAATTCCTCGTCATTATAAATATCACGAATACAAATCACATAGTTTTCTGGTTGCAATTGTCTAATTTCGGCTATGAGTAAGGTATGCTTTACGCATCCGCGCGTTAAAAGAAATGTTTATTTAATAAAGTAAACAAATAAATATTAGGCTTCTTTTTTGGTAAATTTGGATACCCTTTAGATCATAATAGCTCATTATTTTATAAATTACGGTTTCATATTTTTAGTTTTATAATTTCTGCATGCCATCTTACCAGATTTAAACTGATGATCTATAATCCGGAAAAATCGATAATCCGGAATCGCCGAAGTCCCGACGAGTCCGGATTAAAGACTTTTGACTGTACTCTTTTTGAAACATCATTTGGTATCCAGAAATGGATTAATTCATTTTATATTAATTTCTATGGGAAAAATTGTTCCATGAATATTTTGGATGATAAACTGCCTTCAGGAATGAATTATGCTCATGAACCAAAGTTAGCTGTATTTGCACATTCAAGAGAATGTAATAAGTTTGAATTTTTCCCCACCACTTTTTATTTCAACAGGAGAAAATTCAATATTAGTTCTCAAATTCTGAATTTCTATTTTCTGAATTAATGTTTCATTAATGACTCTACGCGAATTTCTGTTTCAGAAACCATTTTCTGTTTCATTTCATTTCCTATTTTTCTAAAATATTTAAGTAGAAAATATCCAGAATGGTGATTTTTTTAAAACTGAATAATCCTTTACTGTGTCATCGTGCTAGGACTGTTACACAGTAGAACTCTGATTATCCAACTGTCTATAGATTCTTGTTGTGATGGTTAAAAGAATACAGATTGAGTCAGGGGCTGTAT